CCCCACACACACACACATTTTCAGCTGAAGCAAAAAAAAGTGTCCCCCCAATTTTAAGATGGTGATTATGTCCTCGCTGCCTTCATCTACCACACAGTCATATAGCAGCCGGCCTTCATCTACCGGCTCGCACAGGCATCCCAGAAGTTGGCCTTCATCCACCAGCTCTCACCATTTATTGGTAGTCCCACTACACCTCTTATCCTGACATTCATTCTGCACTCAGCTGATGTCGTGCGGCTTCGACTTAAATCTCAGCCTTTCTTCTGGGGGACATAGAAAAACCTTCACCTATTCATGTACTCCTAATTTGTCGGCCATCCCTATTATGTATTGTCGTTCTCATCATCCCCTAAATTGCCATTCAGGTCCTGCTAGTTTAACGTGGCCTCAACCTCCTCTCGGCTTTGGTCTCTWTTTGGGGGATTAAATCTCCTACCCCTAACAAAGCATCTCATATGAGATTACAGCTTCACTCAGCGCTCTCGTCCTCTGCCAGGGTCCGAGCGCCAAACTCCAATGCCATTTATGTCATAACGTTGTTGGTCCGGTCATGTCAATAAACCTCCTAAATTTCACTCAGTCTCCTGTGAGTCTTTCCAGGTTGAAATGGAGTTTAAACGTAAATTCAACTTGGAAGACTGGTGACCTTACCTGCTCCTGCAGACCTCCTCATCTCAAGCTCAGCTGTGTACAATCATCGCAAACCCAGCTACGTCCAGTCAGCTCCTGTCTGCCAGTAAATAAAAGCCAGCCACCTCGATCACACAGTCTGCGTGCCAGCCGACCATCGGCCTGTCACCACCGCTCCACCACCCTTCATCTTCTGGAGGGGGTGTGTCTCGACCAGTTCTTCCGCGTTCAGCTGTATCTTTTACCGTCCCTCAGCCTAGCCGATCGAGGCAGATGGCCACCTGTCCTGAGCCTGGTTCTGCTGGAGGTTTCTTCCTGATAACAGGGAGTTTTTCCTCTCCACCGTTTGCTCAGTTTGGGAGTCTGTGAAGAAGTGATTCAACACAAACTGCTGGTTTCTTCTTCTTTAGATTGTTCTTTTCATGACCACCACCACCAGTGTTGGGCCCCGTGGGGATTAAATCTCCTACCCCTAATTTAAAGCATCTCGTATGAGATTTCAGCTTCACTCAGCGCTCTCGTCCTCTGCCAGGGTCTGAGCGCCAAACTCTAATGTCATTTATGTCATAACATTGTTGGTCCGGTCATGTCAGTAAACCTCCTAAATTTCATTCTGTCTCACATGAGTCTTTCCAGGTTGAATTGCTACTAGTCTGAGAATTGTTGTCRTATATTTAATCTTATGTACAGTATTTTGATTACTAAAGTGTCTGAAGAACGTTTTGGTGCAGTTTGGGAAATGCTGATCAAACATAGGAGAAAAGTGCATGACAAAACATCCAAAATGAACCCTAAGTTTTACACTTTTTGGTGCTTTTTTTTGAATGCCAGCTGTAAACGGCTTCATCACTTCAGTACTGGTTGCCTGAATTTAGGTAAGCAATCAGTTTTTCATATTCTGGCACAAACAAAAACAAATCTGAAGCCAAAAATCTGTCTATGATTATGGTCAGATTTTATGTTACGCTGTAGTCAAAGTTGTGATTTTTAGCGTTAACCTTGAATTTTCAGTTTGTGTCCAGGAGAATTTATATTAGAATTTATTTTTTTTATACCTGGAATGGATGTAGTTTAATGGGTACCATCAAACCTTCTGGTACTTTTTATTCACATAAACATAGTATATCTTTTAAGCCAATAGAGGAGTGACCACCTTACATGCACCAATGGCACAATTATCCATCTATCCGTTGGTGTTACTTTCAGGGTCATGGGGGTCACAGGTGTCTGTGTTCAGGAGTCACTGTGCAAGGGGTGGAGGACACCCTGTACAGGTCGCAAGTCCATCACAGGGACACATAGAGACAAACAAGACAGTCAACCATTCACTCTCACCTAAGGGCAGGTTAGAGTTACCAGTTAGCCCAACAGTCATGTTTTTGGTCTGTGGGAGGTAACTGGAGTACCTGGTAAAACCTATGCATGCACAGAGAGAACATGCAAACTCTCAGAAAGGTCCTCTGCCTGGATTCGATTCGGCAACCTTCTTGCTGAGAGGCAACAGCTCTACCAACTGAGCCACATTTAGAGTATTTTTGATGCAACTTTTTACTTTAAAAGTGATTTCATAACAGAACTCAGTAAAAGTTTTATCTACCTTAAGTTTACTTTGTGTATATAAAAATAACACATTGGTGATGTTTAAAACCGATTATGGGGGTTTGCGTCACTCTCATTTGTGCTWCAGGTGCCATGTCATTTGTGACGTCTCTCCTTGAACCAGATCCAGATAAGAGACCCAGTGTCAGAGAAGCAATGGAGAAGAAATGGCTCAACGAAGGATTTGCCAAGAAACCGTTACACACCCCATCTCCTAAGAACAGGTGACATACCAGACGACACTGATCCATATATTGAGAAGTGATATGTCGGCATAACAGAATGCAAACTAACATCTGAGTACTTTATTATGCAGTTGTACGTTTGTATCATGAGAGTATGGAAGGACAAAAAGCTCCTCCTCAGGGAATGTTCTGCATCAAACATCACAATGAAACAGAAAATCCCTGCACATTTTCAAACAAAATGAAAATTCTTGTGGTCTGCAGCGCAACAGCTCTGAATATTACAGCATGACTAAAACCCTTTTATCACTTCACGCATTGTGGAAATGCAATCATGTGTGGCTCCGAACGGCCAGCAATGCCTTTTCTCCAGTCCACATGAATGATAGAGGAAGTGTTCCAGTTCTRCTCTGCTCTCTACCAACATCTTTCAGTTCTAAGTCATTCTAACTCAGTAAATCCATCTCTGCTCTCCCTTTYCTGTTTTACTACTGTATGAAAGTGCTTTTCCATCCCGCTCTGGGTGATTTTTTTTCCAGGTTATGTCCAGAAGATCTGAACTCCTCTGTGTTGGCTGACATGACAGAGACTCTGGGTTATTCCCTCTCTGAAATCCTCCACACGCTCACGAACAACAGGCCCTCCAACATCATGTCGTACTACCACCTGCTGCTCAGCAAGTTCACCAGGAGCCACAAGGCCGTCCAAGCCGGAAAGGTTAACTTTTCATCCATGTACTTAAAGGAGACACGATACCTCCTTCTTAAATGTTGACAGCATGTTTTAAAAATGAACAATTAGCACCTTACCCGTTGAAGACAGCTTCTTGAAACCTAGACCTCAGTTTGGACAAAAGGAGTTTAAATCTGACYRGAKTGACAAGTTAACCTTCAAGCAGGGTCAAAATCAGCATGGATTACTGTAGTCTTAAAACAACTCCTTTCATGTGAGGAMCAATTTTAAAACCTTTATATCAMCATGGCTTCTAAACCACCARGTTTAAAAAYTAGCAATGAAATTTTTAAGATGGGWGTTGCTTTAGGACAGCCACTCATTTTAGCCTTTAAGACARTCCACATAGTTTAGACCAGTGGTTCCCAAACTTTTTATCTTCTGACCCACAAAATATCCATGACAAAAACTTGTGACCCCAAATATGACTGGTCTGAGTACACAAACTTCATTAATAACCCTAAAAACACAGGATTTTTGACAACCTAAACAGCTTATACACAAATATAAATACTTATTTATAGTTATTTTGTGTTTTTGTAATAGTTATATGGAAAATATTACATCAGCAATTATTTTTATTACCCTTTAAATTGGTTTCTGGAGATTATCCAAGGTGCTTCATGACCCATAATTGGGTCCCAAGCCCACCTTTGGGAACCAAAGTGCAGTGGTTCCCAAACTTTTCAGCTTTTGACCCACAAAATAACAGTAGCAGAGACCTGTGCCCCCAACTATTTTTGGATGATAAACATTTGTATCAGATCAACAAAACGTGGGCATAGTAACAATATTTTTTATACTACGTTTATCCATTTTAAATATACTAACTTCACTCCTTTGTAACAACTAAGGCAAAAATGTAATTAATTCAGAAAATCTTGTCAGGACCCCACCTTGATGTTTCGGGACCCCACTTTGGGTCCCGACCCCAACTTTGGGAAACACTGGTTTAGACCACATGTGTCAACATCAAGGCCTGCAGGTTAAATGTGGCCCTAAACGGCATTTTATTTACTATTTTATTTATTTACCGTYATTTTACCAGTCTCATTGAGATCTCAGATCTCTTTTTCAAGCGAGGCCTGGGCCTGAAGGCAACCTATTGYACAAGTTTTTGTGTTGTGGGGGAAACCAGAGTACCTGGAGAAAACCCACGCAAGCATGAGGAGAACATGCAAACTCCACACAGAAAGATCCCAGGTCCGAACTGGGGATCGAACCCAGGACCTTCTTGCAGTGGGGCGTCGGTGCTAACCACTGAGCCGTCGTGCTGCCAATATGGTCCACATAACATGGTTTATGTGGTCCACAAAAGCTTTAAAGATGAATTAATGTCCTATAAGAAGTGTATGCTGCTTTAAAGCCATCATTGACTATGAACTATATCTCCTATAATGCATTGCCATCCTTTTGAATCTTTTACACTGAACAAATTATTAAAGCATCCCATGAGCACCGTAATAAAGCCCTGATTAAAATAAACTCACAAGCTTCACAGCTGTTCCACATTTTTAGAGGCTAATGTTGAAACAGGTTGCCCATATCCGCAGTATTTATTTATTTATTTATTTATTTATTTATTTATTTATTTATTTATTTATTTATATTGTATTTACATGTATCTGTACAAATATGTCCATTAAATGACAACTGGTTGATTCATCCTCATGTTGGAAAAATAAATAAAAACGGCCATAAGTCTGATTAAATAAAATAGTGGAGCTTCTTAGAACAATTTTCCCAAAGTTTAGAGAAATAAAAGGTTTTYGATCAATCTTAAGGCTTACAGGAGCAAAAACCTTTTGATTTTCATTTTTGAGGTAAATGTATACAGATGGGAGGAAGTGAAGATGTGGATTCTGGGTTTCTTCTACTGTGAGCTAAAAAAAAACAACCAAAATGAAACATTAAACCTCTAACTAAATGAGATTTTTTTATTTATTTTACATTTTAGATCTTTTGCATTCAAGAAATGTGCCTGCTTTAAAAACATAGCTCTATAGGTTTTTATTTTTTTAGATTTTTGACAACTGTGACTGATTTTGTAGAAGCTGGAGAGCAACGAGTGCAGTCTTCCCAACAAGAACACACAGAGGGACAAGAACAACACAGAATCAAAGACTCTGCAGGTCAGAACTGTAACCARATGAAGACAAGCTCATCTGGAGGAGTTTATCTCATTTTTACAAAGCAGAAATATGTAGATCCAAACCAAAAAGCATCTTTTTATTTTGTTCTTTGGTGACCCTTTGCTAAGTCATGATGGAGTTTTTAGTTTCTTGTGTTGTTGCTTTGATGCATCAATCTTTAAGTATATAAACTTAATGATTAAATCTAAATATTAGGAGTGTTTTACAGTAAATTTCAGCTGCACAATCTGCATTAACCAGTTTAAAAGTGAAGAGGATATGCAGGTGTTATCAATGCCAATAAAAGAAATAACTCCTGTTCTTATCGATGACCAATCACTGCTTGTTGTCAGAGTGAACGGACCAATGACAAGAGCTCCAAGCAGCTCCAGTATCTGAGGGTCCAGCAGACGAGCAGAAGTCAGAGCGACAGGAGGAGGACCGAGGACCTACACAGAAAGGGCCGCAGGGAGTCTGATGAGAACCGCCCCCCTTCTCCGTCTCTGCCCCAACTCCTAATCTCTGCCTCCCCCACCTTACCTTCACGCCTTCCATCGTCCTCACCCGCCCCTCTGCCTGCAGAGGAAGGGACTCCTGATGAGGAGCTTGCCATCACCTTGGACACCAGAGAGACGCTGTTTCCTGAAGGTGAGGAGTTTTTTTATTTTTTTGATAATTTTAGTCTCTCGGTTGTGGAAGATTTCCAGATATTTGTTTCTGCTCAGTCCCCCACAGCATTTCAGTCAGTTTGAGGTCTGGACTTTGACAGGTCCATTGTAACCTTTTGGTTCTTTTTTTCTTTTTTCAGTCGTTCTGTAGTATGTGCTGCTTTTTTTTAGATCATTGTCCTCTTGCATCATTGTCCTGTTTGGTCTAAGCTTCAATTGTCAAAAAGATGGTGTCAGGTTTGACTATGGAATATTTTGATCTACAGAGGAGTTCATGAACGGCACATTGTCTGCAAGATACTGAAGTCATGTGGCTGCACAACAAGCTCAAATCATCATGCTTCCACCAAACATATATCCATGCATTATCTGTAAACATACAATATCTGCTTTGATCTTATTTTTCCAATCAGTGAGAGAAAAGGTTTTCTCCTGCAACTTTTCCTAACAAGGCTTACTTGTTCAGTCTTTTCCTAATTGTCCTGTCTTTAACTTCAACTTTTCATCTGGAGATCTACTAAAGGATTGTATAACAAGACATGCAAACTTGATATCACGCTCAAAGCTGATCTGCTAACATGTACCGAGGATTGTGTTTGTCAAAAAGGCAAAATAGCAGGCATGGTTCATTCGTGTTTGCCTTCATGAGTATGCAGAATATGTGATGATTATCAGAATGCACAAAATACTGGGAGGAGGATAAGCAGATATAATCATTTAGCACCTGCAATTTGATTGATCAAACCTGAAACGGATTGCTACGGAAGCTGAGAGCGGATGTTTTTCCGCATATAATTTTTTTTACCCATGCATAAACATGTTGTCATGAAATAACGACTGTTTTCTCGAGATAAATTATGGTTTTCCTCTTGAGCACCATGGAGACGGCCCGGTCCCCTCAGGTGGTCACGAATAAAGTTTATTTTATCAGAATGATCAGAATCTTTTGAACGTTTTTTTTACAACGAACAACAGGAGCTGAGTTGCGGGCAGTAAAAAGCAGCCAGTTCGGATGTTATCAGTCCATTAAATGGACATTATTAGCGGTGATCAGTCCCATAGAAGGGCTTCAGTCCCGACTGTGCCGTCTAGTGGGTTACCAGTGCCATATACGTTGGAATGCAACAATCTGCTACCGCCGGAGTCCGGTCTACTTTATCGTAGCCCATGCTATTTTCTCTAAAATTAATCTTAGTAGTTTTATGCCTCGTATTAACCAGATTGCATAAAAAATCTTAATGGTTTTATGCCTCATATTAACCAGATTGCAGAAAAAACCTTAGTGGCATTATGCCTCATACTAACCAGCTGATAGTCTGAGGCCAKTCTATGGGATGGAGAACCCACTAGGTGGCACAGTCTGAAGCCATTCTATGGGATGGAGAACCCACTAGGCGGCACAGTCTGAAGCCATTCTATGGGACTAATAACGGTTGATAACGTCCATTTAATTAACGACAACATCCAAAGCGGGTGGTAAAAAGCTGTTTGTAGTTTTATTATTTTATTCCTCATGTAATCTTTTTATTTTCATCCTTAAAGGCACAGTGTGTAGGATTTTGTCAATTCTTTTAGCCGAAATTGAGATAATCACTAATGACAATAATAAAAAAAAAAAACATGTCTAATCATTGCAGACAAAGACCTGGTTTTATTATTTTTACCTTATAAAAAGCTGTTTATATCTCCATGGTCGCGGGTCTCCACTACAGGCAGCCGCCATCTTGCACCACCATCTTGTCTACGAAGGCTCATGAAGGACAAACTGCGGTGGCGGCGTCAAAAACGGCTTTAGTTGTAATACTATAAATGTAATATTTGTTGTCTGTCATTGTAGCTGGGATAATTTTACTTATTAAAGCTCATAATCTTACCACTTGAAACATCACTAGCCCTGAAGCTGCTGGTAGACATCGCGGTTGGAATTATCAAAGGTTTTTGACCCCTGAGAGACACCGTAGCAACTCCTTTGCGTTTGGAAGCGAGGGTTGGGGGTGGGGGGAGGACCAGGGAGGATGATTCGAACATTCAACCACTAGATGTCGCTGAAAACAACAAATCCTACACAATGTACCTTTAATGGACGATAACATCCAAAGTGGGYGGTAAAAAGCTGTTTGTAGTTTTATTATTTTATTCCTCATGTAATCTTTATATTGTCATCCTTAAATGGCTCCCGCTTTGTTTTTCTAATAAAAAAAATAGGCAGAACAGTGGAGTACAGACGCTCACAGGGAAAGGGGGAGTGGGTTTCCGCTTGACAAAACACACGGTTCCACCCACGTARCGCGATGACATCATCACGCACGGCGACATGATGTCTCACTTCCCTGCGTGATGGTGTAATTAGTTTAAAATCGAACGGCTCTTTTGAACGGCTCTTGTGATCAATGCGTTGATCAATGCCAGGTTCTCCACAATCTGACATTTTCTGCTTGAGTTCATTCTTGGCAATGTTTTAAGAACACTGAGAAACTGATCAAGATCATTCAAGAAAAGATAATCATCTTGTTATCTCAAGAAAACAGTCATCACTATTTGATCATGACATAATTAACTTGCTATCTTGAGAAAACCATGAGATAAATTACATGTGGAAAACGTCCACTCTGGAAGAAGTCCTAAATGTTTTCCTCTGGTAAATCTTACTATATGACCTTATAACCTTATATAGATTGATAAGCAACAGTTTTTTGTCTAAGCTCATTGCTGATGTCTTCATCTTGCCATTGCGTTAACACATCTGTATTCTTCAGAACAACACTGACTGAGGTGGTCCCTCTCGCTTTCCCACACAGCTTTTCCATTTTGGCGTAGTTTTGTACAGTACGGTGTATTCCAAACTAAACTGCACTGTGTGTGTTTTTGTGTGTCCTAGTGTCAGTGTTTGGAGAGAGGGAGCTTGTCCGACTGTCTCCACCTAAAAGTTCAACTTCGAAACTTTGTGACTCGGCTCCATGCCAAGTCCCTTCACCCTCTGAGCCAATCAGAGACGGCGGCACGTCCAGGCCACTCCCACATGCGCGCCTGCTCAGAACAACTCAGTCAGACGGCGCGGCGAACTGCTTCCATGGCAGCCACCACCACGATGATACCTGTCGCACCAACGAGCGACTGGAGAAGCTGCAGACGTCGGACAGGGCCCGCCTGGTGGAGCTGACCCAGCCGTCGCCCACTACTCCTCTTCCTCGGCTGCGCAACGTGGGCCTAAAGGATGGGCGAGGGAGAAAGGTGACGTGGGTGGAGCTGAATCGAACCGGACCCCCCGGGCTCCCAGTGAACGGCTCCAACCCGCCGGCGTTCCCGTCTCAGAGACAACACGCCTTAGTTATAAAGAGCCTGAGGCAGGAGAGGGGGCGGAGAGGAGAGCTCGCTGCTGCAGGAGGACAGGAGGTGAACACGAAGAACTCCGTTCAGTTACGTCCCTCTCTCCAACGTCTGGACGCAGAGCTGAACCTGCCGCGGCTTCCTGGAGCCCTGCAGAGGAAATCTGACCGGAAGAATCAGCTCCACAGCATGGATTATTAACTCACAGCTCAGGAGAAGGCCCAAACAAAGCACTCAGATTAGAATCATGGGGATAAAAACGGAGCAAATACTTAAAATATTAAAGCATTTAGAGGCACAACTGTATGGCAGCTATAGGAATTACAGCATCAAAGCTATTTTTTTATTGTTCTATTTGACATGATCAAAAACTCCTTTAAAAAACTCGGTGCCAAAGATTCTTTGTCATTAGTCAAACTTCTCTTCATAAAACAGGAACAGGTCCAATGTTTCAAATTTCAACAGACCTTCCCTCCAGCTAAACATTTTGGTTTTATTCCATCATCCACCATGCTGTGGTGGGGTGACTCCAGCCKTCTCAGTCCTTGTGTCCTTGGGTAAGACACTTCACCCCCCGCTTGCCTACTGATGGTGGTCAGAGGGTCTGGTGGTGCCGGTGCTTGGCAGCCCCGCCTCTCTCAGTGGCAAGTCTCCCAGGGCAGCTGTGGCTACAATGTAGCTTACCACCATCAGTGTATGAATGGGCGAATGACTGTAGTGTAAAGTGCTTTGGAGTCCTCCTCATGGGGCTTCATAAACCACTATAAGTTCAGTCCATTTACCATCATTCTTTAGTCTGTTTTGCACCAAAGCTGAACCTGAACACGTCTTACTTTCTCTGACATATTGTTAAAAATGTTTTGGGAAATTGTTTTATCTGGTTTTCTTTTATTTTATTTCTTTCTTCTTTTTTTGCAAAGTTATTGCTCATTAAAAAATAAATAAAAGAAGCTAAAGAGATTTTTTGATTTATTGGTTGCTTTTAACTTCTTTGAGCCAATCRGAACAACTTTAAAGTCCTGTGTCATCCAGGAGTTACCTGTTAAAATAACATCCTTGTCGTCAAGAAACTGAGAGTGAGGTTGTGTAACATCAACATTTGAGGTAAGGAAATGCTTTATTTTTTTCAGTTTCTTTTCATTTTGTGTTTAATTTCAGTTTTCCTCATCCTCATATAGAATAAAGGTACTTAGCACCGTGAGGTTTATGAGAAAACCAGTCTGGTTTTGAAGAGGTCTGGAAGATAAAAGGTTCCACTGAGACGGAAGTATTCTGTTTTATGCGGAAGCCGAGAGTGGGCATTTTTCATATATACGTATATATATATATACAGTTATTTTTTGTGATAAGTTAATTATGTTGTTATCGTGAAATAACGCTGTGTTTTCTCGTGATGAGGTAATTTCCCGATGGTTTTCGTCTCATGCACCATTCAGTAACAATGGAGACGGCCTGGTCCCCTCAGCTAGTCACAGGTGAAGTTTATTATTTATTTAATTGACGTTATTTATCCAGGCAAATCCGATTGAAATCGCAGATCTCTTTTGCATGGGAAGCCTGGGCCAGAAGGAAACCTAGTATACAAAATTTTTGTCATATTTTTGCATCACTACACAGACTGAAATTGCGATTTGTTTGTCCTGTACATATAGCTTTCATATCAGCCTTTGTCAAGGAGACGGCTGGCCTGACTGCAGCTCAACAGGCATACAGTGATCCTGCTGATATCATAAACAGAGCCGGCTCTTGGCATAGGCGAACTAGGCGGTCGCCTAGAGCGCCATCTGCTGGAGGATGTGAAAGTGCCCGCTGCAAAGCAGTAGGAAAGGAGAGCGGAAAAGTTCAAAACTCATTTCTACCGGCAGAACAAGTTGGAAGATGGCTATTTAACGTTATTTATTGTTTTTAAATCATCCTACAGGCTCTGACATGTTAGATAAATTTGAAAATGAGGTTTTAAAAAAATCCGTAAGACTTTAAAAAATTTGTGAGATTGCTCTATACATCCGTATACCTGCAAAATGACGTAAAATCCTTATAACTTACGGACAATCCATACAAGATGACATGTATGTTGTTATTTATTTGTTTTCTGGGAAAGCAAATAAATCTGCTTACCAAAGTACCTTACACTGTCAAAATTGTTTTTAGGCGTTCCAA